GATTTGGGATAATTTATATATAGCTCAACAGTAAAAAGCATATTTAAATATGTACCCCTTGTCAGAGGTTGTCTGATCTGCCTGAGAGACAGTGAGGTCTAAATCACAGAATCTGCAGTGGGGTTGGGGTCCCCCTGAATCCTGTATTCTCTTCTATGTTGTACAGAAAGTAACATTGCACAGAATACCAGATTCCAGGGCTTTTTATAAAGAGCCAAAGGACAAAAATGGTTTTAATTAAAGAAGAGAATTGAGCACTGAAAATAAGAAAAATAGAACTACAAAAAGTAAGGGTGCATGTGTTTGGAGGGGCTGCTTTGTGGCCTGTGACCCTTGCCCACTTGAGGAATCAGCAACGCTGATGGCGTGTCTAAGTCTAGCCGCCATCCCACTGCTCCCCTGCCTCCTTGTGCAGGCAGAGCTGAATTCAGTTGAGACTTGCCAATAGGCCAGATGTGTGCGAGTCTGCCAGATTTAGCTGAGCAAGTGGTGCAGTAAACTGAGAAAGTCCCCAGTAACATATTCTTTCCCTGCTTGTGGCACCTTTATTATGGAACCCAAAGGGAAATGGATAAGGAGGCTGAGAACAAGGGAAGCATTTTCTCATGCTGCTTCTGCCCTCTGTAAGGGGACAAAGTGTGGTTGAAGGCCAGACGTAGATGACCAAGTGGCAGAAAATAAATAGTCTTCTCTGTGAAAGATATCTCAGTCCCAAAGACCATATTGGCCAGCTGGCAAAAAGAAGTCTGCTGCATGAAAATATTTAAAAAACAGACCCAGTAACTTTCATATAAAAATCTACTTCTCTTTCATCTTTATATCTTGGTTGTCGATTTCCCATTTATAACTTGCCTTAATGACCCATTGTGGCTTTTACCTGGAAGACAGAAAAAAAGAAAAAAGAAAAAGAAAAAGAATGAATTGTCCGACCTATTTAGTGTTGAAGGGTAGAAGTATCTCCTTGTCACAGAGGCAAAAATAAATAAATGAAAGCCTGCCACAAAAGCAAATCAAGTGACTAATTTGCTGTGATTGTTAGAAACACTGGACTTTGCCTGTTGTAAACACACCCCGGACACACCCTGGAAGCCTCTGGCCCCTCCGGTGTTGTGCTGGAATCTTAGTCCAGCCTGAGAGCCCATCCAGCCTTGCTATGCCTCAAAGGAAGCAACTAGCTAATTGTTTTCAAATTAACTGCTGCTTGAACAAGGACACCCAGAGGAATAGTCCTCGCTGGAGACTGCAAAATTCTTCCAACCAGTCAGGCCCCATCATCAGCATAACAGCTGATGGCCCTTCTGCTGAAAGACTGACAGTCGTCAGAAAGGTGCTTATGGAGTGCGGAAAGGATGGCTGCCAGCCGGAAGCCTAGCAAAGACATTTCCTGCCTTCCCCAGAGGTACCCAAGTCAACAGATGCGGCCTTTCTGACAGCTCAGCACCACATTGGTTGCCCAGCTTTCCAAATGGACCGCAGAAGCAGTGTGGAAAGTGGCATGGGCTCATGGTGCAGCTCTCATGGAAGAGACCCCCTCTAGCTCTGCTCATTGTGATTTCCCACCGTGGGATACTGGGACTAGATTTGCTTCAGCTTCGTAAGACAGGAGTGGGTGTGAGTGTGGAAGATGCCAGTTCTAGTAAGCAGTATAGGCCCTATTAGCTATGACCTCCTAACCAACAAACTCCCTATGTCTTGTTTCTCACCATTGCTGTTTTTTCTACTTTGAGCCACAAATGAACCTTCTGCTTTTATCCCAACTCCTTAAGATGTTGGAACCTGGCAGGTTTAACTAGAAGGTGTCTTAGGATGTCCTTGACAGTGACAAGTGAGGTCAGAGTAGGGGGTGCTATTTCTAGGATAGCGTGAAGCTCCTGAACTTGCATGACACCAGATTCCATTCAGAAGCAGATCAGTCAAAGCCACCAAACTTCGGATCTCTGCCCCCTTTGCCCCTTCCAACATGCCAGATGACAGACTAGGAGGGCCTCTCAGTACACTCGTTACTGTTTCTGTCAGGGAGTTTCTTCTACCAGAACCATCCTCCCAATGCCCCTTCCTTGAAATACGGCTTGTCCTAGATCTTCTGAAACGTATTTTCTATGGTAAGCAGGCTCCAGATAGCCTCAAGCTTCTTTCTAGAATCCCCCACACCCCTGCCATGTCTGGCCATAAATGAAAATGTGCCTCTTTTAAAGAATATATCCTTCCTTTACAATTCTTGCACCCCAAATGCTCCTGGACTTGGAGGTGGTACGAGCATGTTCCTGACTCCACTTCTTCTCCTACCTTTAGTAGAAAGCCTCCCCCTTGAGGCTCATGCAGTCCTGCTATTGTCCTTCCTATTCGTTGGGCTGGGACTCTCCTACACTCACCCACCACCGAGCTGCAGGGTGTTAGCCTCTCTTGCTTCACGCTGCATTGTGTGTTTCACCTGCCTTTCCCACTGATTAGAATATTTATCATTTTTCACCTACTCAAATCCTGTCTACCTCAGGTCTTTCAGCCTTTCCTCTGGTCCCTTCCCTGAAAGCTCTGTTAGTGGAGATTTCCTCAGATCTTAACTGCAGCCCTTATTTGACACATAATTATCATGAACAGTGTCTGTGACAATCAGCTTTAATTTTGGATTACAATTTAAAGCTTATAATGCCATTTGACTTTGCAAGTGTTGTGTGCCTCATATACCCACTTCGATTGTCAAGTTCTTTGAGGATAGAACCTTTCCCAGAAACTTTCTTAGATATAATTATCATCAAACCTTTGTCTGATATTTAAGTATCTGAAAAAAGTTTCTTGAGAGAAAAAATGAATCAATCAATCATGAGTAAACATTTTAAGATGTTTGGGAGCCTTGTCTTCTTTTGTTGCTGGCTGGCCAGCTGTGACTTTATAAACAAATTTCCTGGTGTGACCTCTTAGTTCTCAGCTTTCACTTGCTGTGAGGGTTGAGAGAGCTGTAGTAAAGTCATCTGAGCTTATAAGAAAAAAAAATTAATTAAACATTGTAAGTACAAAGTGGAAGTTGCAGAGTTACAATAGTGTCTGCATTTACTATCATCTCAATAAATAAGAAAACATAGTGTCCTTAGAAAGCCTAATGTTCTCTGCACTGATCGCTACAGAATGTTTCTTTTGTCTTTTGCCACATATAGGAAAAGCAAAATAATTAGTTCTAGAGTTAAAACAATTGGATAACTAAGAATAGTAACTATTTTTAATTGCATGCTTGTTTTCCTAGAAGCAACATCAAAAAGAATGGGAGAAGTTCAGAGTTTAGGAGAAAATACTATTATTTATGCCTCCTGATACAGTTAGAGCTCACCACGGGACACTTTTTATTATGCTTTGAATGTCCATTGGCATCAAAGTGCTTTTCATTTTAGGAAACCATCCCCAAAGAAGAGTATTGTAAATAAGAGGAGATTTGGGAAGATTGAAAACTGTTAAATAAAGGAGGAGGTAGGTTATAACTGTTGAACCGTCCTCTCCTTTGATCTCTCTGCTCTATGCTATCTCTATAAAACAGTATGCCATCCCGAGCTGCAGTGGAGCAGATTCATAAATATTTACCAGTAGCAAATTATAAATGTGCAGCCCAGAGAGTAGCAGCGTTGTCTTTCTTCTTTTCTTCCTGCACTAATGATTCAGGAACTCTTAACACATCCAGAATTTGGAGACTGGTTTTGTAACTTGTCATTTCCTTTGTATGCCAATTAAGTCTTTGTAATTTAAATGGGAATTTTATTTTCTAATTTGAAAGCTTCCATGTAGGTGGACTGAGATTTTTCTCCATCCTGTGTTGGGGCTTTGATATAATGATTTACTAAGGTGCTAGGAGAAATATTGATCTGCTAATAGCTTCTGCCCTGCCACATAATGTTTTACACTTTACTCTGCTGAAAGACCATATTCCCTTTTCGACATCTGATTGACCTTAAATGCTTTGGCCTTTCCTCTGCAATTATCTCACTTACCAAAGCACTGGGTAAAAGTCAAGTATTTATAGACTAATTAGTGAAGTCAACATGTCTAAATAGAGTACTTCATATAATACAAAGAAGAATTGTACACTACTGTGAAGTTTGCCAAGTTAGGTATAAGGCTAAGCAGCAAGGGTTGAGAACACCAGTGGTTGAGGACACATTAACGGCAGTTGTCTTTTGTGTGATTATTAGGACATAGCTAAGGGGATGTTGTAATAACAGCACTTTTCTTCTATAGCTTCTCTCCTTGACCTTAACTTCTTTTTACTTATGAAGGCTTTGGGATATTAATAGGTTCTGAGTTTATTTTACATTCATTTTTTAGAGTTTATCATCTCAAGAGACCTATGGACAGGAATATATAATTATTTTACTATTTTTTATTGTAAATGGGATTGTTTTATCTCTTTCACATAGTCTGTTGTTAGTGTTTAGAGATGCAAATAAATTTTGTATGTTGACTTTGTATTCTGTAACTTTACAGAATTCATTAAGTAGTTCCAACAATTTTTGGTGAAATCCTTTTTTTTAAATCATTTACAATTACATAAGGGCCAGTGAAGGGTTCTTCCTGAGATAAATGTAGGCGAAATAGTATTGCAGCCCAGACTACTGTTAAGTTAGTAACGTTGCTTCCTATTTTAGCCTATGTTGTTCTGACTGATCTAGATGTGTAGCTGGATCCTGTGTATACCTGCCTTTACATTTGGAAAGGATGGAAAAATCTCTCTGGAATTTCCAAAGGAGTTTATGGAATCTCTTTGGAAATAACAAAGAATGTCTCATTATCCAGGGCTCACTTGTAATTATTTATAATTTCCCCAAGTAGCTTTAGTTCATTTGGAAATATACTTTGTACTTTCCGACAATATTCTAGGCCTAGAATGGAAACAACAACACAAACCAATACTTCAATATATCTGCCTTAGAGACTCACTGTGACTGATTCATGCTCTGCTTTCTGTTTGCTCATTATCCTGTACTTCCTTCAATCCCTCTACTTGTCATTATCTGCAGGAACTAACAATTTGTAAAACCAGAAACCAAAGCGAAATTAAATGGTATAAATGACATCAAAAAGGAAGGAAGCGGAGACATTTAAGTGAGCCACTTCGGTAAGTACTTCAACCCAGTGAAGCATGGACTTTCTTTTCAGAAGTTGTCATCAGGGCAGCCAAGTGTCAAGCCTGATCTGTCTTTATGGGATAGTATTTTTGTTTGGTTGGTGGTGTTTTGAGAAATTAAAATAGTTGGGGAATGGTGGTAGTCCTACATTCAGTACTAACTTTTACTAACATTCCATACCAACTCCTTAACAGACTCTTCAATGCAAACTTCCCCAGCTCAGTATATAGATGTTGCAATCACATCTGTGAAATGTGAAGCCAAATAATAATATTTATGTTCACTTCTGTTGCCCTCTTTCATTTTTGTCCACCTTCCCCACATCCTGGTGCCCTCTCTCACCTATTTTTAGGTGCCCATGATATCCTTAGGTTGTCTCTGACTGCCCCAAATTCCTACTTTATTTCAGAACTCCTATCCCTTCACCTGCTCACCTACAAAATACCTCTGGCTCCAAAATTACCTTTTCTCAGTGTTGTTATAAACTCCTCTCCCCTTTTTTTCTCTTCTTACAGCTAGCTAAGTTAGGAAAAAATAATATGATTAAACTAATTCTCAAAAAGGTATCCTTAACCAATGAAGCCCCTTCCTTAATTCCCCTACGGAAGTTTCCATTTTAAAAGAGAATGAAAGTCTTCAAATATATTATTCATTTGGATAAAATAGACAATAATTTATTCATGCATTAGTTTAACAGATAACTGAGTACTAGTCTTACCTTCACGTGTTAAGGTGAATAAAGCTCTGTGCGATACAGCCTCTGGGAGTGTCAGTCCTGGACTTTAAATTAGGACATTGGCTAAACCTTTGTGACAAGCTTGTCTTGATTCTGCTGTTTGTACCCAGGAGTGGTCCATAATCCTACCTCTGCCTGCCTTGTAGCAACAGCAATTCAGAGCAAGTGGGAGGAGGCAGAACATTACAGAGATGAGAGGGAGCAGCTAAGGCTTGGAGATGCAGTGAGAAATAATGGGAGGAGGAGGTCTAGCTGGAAGAGTGAATTGTTTTATCTTCAGGTCTCTTCTGATCCTAAAATTCTGTGTAAATGAGAAGGAAAAAGGGAGGAAAAAACATGTAGAAGGAAAGAGGAAGGGAGGATGTTCTGGGAATACAGTGGAAGGCTGCATTTCTTTTAGTTAAAGTCCTCCAGGTTCATACGTATATTACAATATGCTGTTTACCTCCTTAGAGCAGAGGTGAGCCCTTCTCTGTGGCTTCTAGGAATTAAAAAAATCAGTAGGTATGCAGCCTCCCTGGCATGCCGCTTTCATGACATTAGAGAACATCTCCCACGGTGAGATTGAGGCTGTCAATAAATACTTCAGCATTTTCTTTCCTACGCCAGAACCCTCAAGCAGGGTTGCTAAGAGATCAGAAATCTCCCAGGGTGGCAGGGCTAAAGGTCCCTGCTCCTTCCTGGTGGAGTTTGGAGATGGCTCGGGCACCAAAGCATCAGATAGAGACCAGGACCTGCCAGCAGGACACTAAAATACAGCTCAGAACACATCCCCACTCCTTACAAAATGAATGTTTTTCAACCTGAAGAAGCCAGTGGAGGTGGGGGTGGATTGAAGTGGTTGTGAGGAGAATTTGCACCCATGAGCTTACTGTATGCACACTCAGTCAAAGCAGTTTCGTCGGGTGTGAGTTGCTGTCCATGCAGAGCAGTGTTGGACCCATCCTTTCGTGCCCTGGCCGAGAGTACCGTAGAAGGAGAGAGCTGGAAGGAAGCCCCTTGGGGACAGGACAGCTCTGTGGGCATCTGTGCCATCATGATATTATGTGCAATTGAAATGGTGGTAAGATACCAAATGTTTTTTTGCTTTGCAGTACTCCTATTATCAAATGTAATTGTCAACTGCTGCAGCTTATTAAACTTAAGACTATCAAATTTGACTAAATTGTAACGTACCTTTTAAGATTAAATAAATGCTTTTGGTATATAAAGGTTTGTAGTTTTAAAAGTTCAATAGCTTACTGGAGCAGAAATATGTCATGTAGTTTTTAAAAGGTGAATAGTCCCCCAAACTTGACTTAATTGCTCTGTTTTTCAGCCTCGGCATAGACAGATGTCAGCTATGTTCTGTGTTAGGTTTGTCATGCTTGGAGAAGGATTGGGGAAACCATTTCTTTAGGAGTTAGCATCTGCAATTTTGATTTTATTTTAAAAAGCCAAGTAAAATTAAATTTAGGATCATGTCTGTTTAAGAGTTATCTGAAGTACTTTTTAAAAAAACCTCTTGGGTTATTAGAGTATCTGAAGGATGTTTCTGGGATAAAGCATGATTACACTAGGGATTTACTCACTAAATATGGGACACTTATCGAAACTTTTGAACAATTAAGAGGCATATTTTATGATATAAAACCCTTGCCTTAATAGCATAAAATGGTGATTTAAATGACTGTTGTACTGTCTCAAAAGGTGCATCAGACCAAAATGATTAACTTTATTCTTAATACAATACAAAGTGCCACTCTTTAGCTATATACAAGTATCCTGAATATAGCTTTTAGAATCTCTCAAGGAGGAGGAGAATTGTATTTTTTAAGCACATTAATGTGGGAAGGTTACTTAGCCTTTCTAAGGCCCAACTTGTCATGTATAGGCTGGCCAGTAATCTCTCAGAGCTTTTGTGGTGGTTAACTGTGGCTCTGAGCAGTGGAATCACACCTTATCCCAAGCAGGGATTAGATGTGCATTAACTGCAATCAGATGCAAGATGAGAAAGATGTGTAGGCAAAACTCCTCAAATGCCCCTAAATTTCCCATAGGAAAAACAAATGGGGTTCTCTGCCTACTTGCACCATCTTCTGGGCAGCCCTGCAGCCTCTCATCCCTCCAGCTGAGACCTGACTACCAGTGGTGAACTCTGGGGGAGAAAACTGTGTCACAGGAAATCTGGCACATGGTGGGGCTCCACCTGCGGGTGAGACACTGAGTACTGTGCCTTCCACAGCTAGTGTTAGTTTCCCTTGCCCTTCCTCTAGTGCCTTGGTATCACTCTCCTGGACCAGTGGGACCTGGCTGTGGGATTCAGTGCAGCTTTAAGGCCTCGATCCCAAGAGTTCAACTTGAAGTGGATGGTTCTGAAGCCTGAGAAGTTGGAACTGGGTTGCTGTGAGATAATACTCATTCTCATCAGTTACTGAAGAGGAGACATATAGGAATTAGACTCAGAGCTTATATACATTTGCAAGATGCAGAGACATATACTGTAGAATCCACCTATGTAGTTTTATTTTAAGTAATGGTAAATTTAAGCGATGCTAAAAATAGTATCTGAAAAAGCATGCGTTGCTGTTCCATAGGCTATTTTTACATAAAGTATCTTTGATCCTAGTGAAACACAAAACTTCTGTTTTTGTGAAGTCAAAATAGGAACTCGAGTTATAGACAAAAGTTATTTTACTAGGTTTTAGTTGAATAGAGAGACAAGCACTTCTTACTGAATTATTTAAAAATACTTTATTTAGCATTTAATGTTTTGCTATTCTTTTCCAAATTTGGGCTTTTCTCACTAGGTAAAATTGAATTTCTTAGTTAGTGAATTTTCAAATTTCCATTTATAAGATAGAGACATTAAAGATGGAAGCTTCACTAGCGACTATTTCTTTTTTATTTCAGAATAAATTCAGTGTGAGTGATATTACAGTGGACTGATTGAGACACCGTGAGAGAGAAGAACTGTCCCTGTCAACAACAGTCTAATTCCATAAATTTTTATTATTTTGTGCCAATGATTGTCCTAGGCAACAAAGATAAAAAGCTTTTGGGAGTTTGTTATATTTAAGATGAACACATAAACAGAGCATTTCAAAAAGTGTGGTAAATTCAGCAATAGAGGGAAACACCTGAGTCTGTAGGAAGAGCAGAAAGGGCTCTCCAAACCAAAGGGTGAGTCTGGGGAGAGATTGGGTGGGATTTTTTTTTTTGCACTTTTGTTTGTTTTTATTGAGATATAATTTACATAAACACTGTGTTAAGGTCTACAGTGTGTTAAGTGATACGTTTATATATTGCAATATGATTACCACTATACTGTTAGCTAACAACTATATTAGGTCACATAAGTGTCATTTATTGTTTTTGGTGAGAACAATTAAAACCTAGTCTCTTAGTAACTTTAAAGTTTATCATACAATCTTGTTGACCATAATCCCTATGCTGTGCATTAGAGCTTCAGCATTTGTTTATCTATAGGTTGTAAGTAGATAAACATCTCCCCAATTACCCCACCCCTTGGTGATTGCCTATCTACTCACTGTATAAATTCAGCATTTTTAGATTCCATATATAAATGAGATCATATGGTATTTGTCATTCTGTGTCTGACTTACCTTGCTTAGCACTATGCCCTCAAGGGCCATCCACGTTGTACAAATGACAGGATTTCTTTCTTTCTCATGACTGAGTAATATTCCATTTATATATGTATTACATCTTTTCCATCCATCTATTGATAGACACTTAGGTTGTTTCCTTATTTTGGCTATTGTGAATAATGCTTTAATGAACAAGAGATTGCAGATGTCTTTTTAATATCCTGATTTCATTTGGTTAACCATTTTAAACTGAAGGAGTTTGGGGAGAGTTTTTGTAGAAGGGACTATTTGAAGTAACTGCACCTCAAGGTTTTCGTTTGGGAACCTGGTCTCTTCCTAACCTGTGAAATTCCGGTGGTGCTGACATCACTCCCCAGCTGCAGGGTGGGAGGGCAGGCCCCTGGGGTTTCTGTCATTCTGACAGCACTTGGGGTTTCCGACCTTTCTCTCTTCTGGGGTTTGCAGTGATATCTCAGCACCAGAGATCCCCACTTTAGGGACCTCTAAAGGGATCATCTCTTCTTTAGTCTCACTGTAGGTATCATGTCTGTTTAAGAGTTATCTGAAGTACTTTTTAAAAAACCTCTTGGGTTATTAGAGTATCTGAAGGATGTTTCTGGGATAAAGCATGATTACACTAGGGATTTACTCACTAAATATGGGA